TGCATCTTTTGAACCAAGTTCTCATAGAAGAGAAATGTCTCTTTCATCTTTCAGCTGTGCAGGACAACATTACCATAGTTTTAGATCTATAAGATGCACAGTAGTGAGTACCTGGGTAATGTGGGGGGGGCTGGCAAGCCAGGAAAGAGCCCGCACCCTCATACGCCGTCTGGGGACTCCTGCTGTCCGGGGAGAAGTCGTACAGGTCTGAAGAAAAAGAAAAAGAAAAGAGCTTAAATAGAGAAGTCGTACAGGTCTGGAGAAACGAGAAAAAGAAAAAAAGATGAGATAGAGAAGTCGTAAAGGTCTGCAGAAGCAAGAAAAAGAAATAGAAAAAGAGCTTAAATAGAGAAGTCGTAAAGGTCTGAAGAAACAAGAAAAAGAAAAGAACTGAGATAGAGAAGTCGTAAAGGTCTGAAGAAACTAGAAATAGAAAAAGAAAAGAGCTTAAATAGAGAAGTCATAAAAGTCTGAAGAAACGAGAAAAAGAAAAAGAGCTGAAATAGAGAAGTCGTAAAGTCTGAAGAAACAAGATAAAGAGAAGAGCTGAGATAGAGAAGTCATAAAGGTCTGAAGAAACTAGAAAAAGAAAAAAGCTGAAATAGAGAAGTCGTAAAGGTCTAAAGAAAAAGGAAAAAGAGGAGAACTGAAATAAGGAAGTTGTAAAGGTCTGAAGAAAACAAAAGAAAAAGAGAAGAACTGAAATAGAGAAGTTCTAAAGGTCTGAACAAACTAGAAAAAGAAAAAGAAAAGGGCTGAGATAGAGAAGTTTTAAAGGTCTAAAGAAACAAGAAAAAGAAAAAGAAAAAAGCTGAAATAGAGAAGTCGTAAAGGTCTAAAGGAAACAGAAAAAAAGAAGAACTGAGATAGAGAAGTTCTAAAGATCTAAATAAACTAGAAAAAGAAAAAGATAAGAGCTGAGATAGAGAAGTCGAAAGGTCTGAAGAAACTAAAAAGAAGAAAAAGAGAAGAGCTGAAATAGAGAAGTTCTAAAGGTTTAAAGAAACAAGAAAAACAGCTGAAATAAAACCAGAGTGAAAGAAGTACTGATGCGTGTTATTTTATTGAATCAGAGTAATGAACCCCCTGTAGGATGTGGTCGTAAGTCTGAAGAAACAAGAAAACAAAAAAAAGAGAAGAACTGAAATAAAGAAGTTCTAAAGAAAAAGAAAAAGAGATGAGCTGAAATAGAGAAGTTCTAAAGGTCTGAAGAAACTAGAAAAAGAGCTGAGATGAAACCAGAGTGAATCGTGTTATTTTATTGAATCATTGTGAATAAATC